ACTTTTGGAAATTGTCGGCGCATGTAATCTCTCCTGGCATTATATGAGGGTTGCAGTTCAGCATCTTTTTTATCTACTTTTTTTGTAGCTCCAATGCGAGGTTCGATATAATATATTTCATTTCTCTCTTCTGCGAAACGAACTCTTCGAACAGTTTTTTGAACAGTTTTAAACAAGCATGAACGCAAAGTAGAAACTTGTTCTAATCTTCTTTGATTTTCAAAAGATTCTACTATGTTCTTTTGCATTGAAGCAAATGTTATTTTGTTTGTTGTTCGTTTTTCTCGTGCTTCTACCTTCTCTTTTCTTTCTGCTAATGATCCGCATATTGAATTCCGTCTTTTTAACTGTGCTAACGCCGTATTCGTTGATGTCTCCAGTTTTGAATTATCATCTGATTTTTTACGACAAATTGTTTTGGGCACATCATTTGTAAGAAACGCCCCACGGTTCACTTTTGTATTTTTCACTTTCATTACTTCTTTTTTCTTTTGGTCCTCCGATTCGCATTTTTCTTTTTTTTCTTTTGATTTTTCTGCTATATCCTTGAGCATTGCTTTGCGCTTTTCTACGTTATTCTTTTTTGTTAAATTATCTATTTCACAACTTTTTAACATTTGTCCAAAATCTGTTGTTGAAGCTGTAGCCGCCGAGATGCCTCTATGCTTCCCCTTATGAATTGGTAAATGTGGAGGGTTTATAACTTCAAGAAACGAATTATTTTTCTTAGCTACTTTCTTTACAATTTCTTCTAATTTATTATCTTTTGAGCTATTATATATTTTATCGTCAGTGATAGTATTTCTTCTAGTGTGATTTTGAGGTGTTTCTTCTATTTTATTAGGTTTAATGTGTTCGTTATCATTTGAAACAGATAATTGATCATCCGTAATATTATTTTCAGTAGTACGATTTTGTTGTGTTTCTCTTGTTTCATTTGAAACTTGTGTAATATCTTCGTCAGTACTATTTAGTCTAGCACGTTTTTCAGTTGCTTCTTTTGTTTCAGTTGCAATTTTTCCTTTGTCTTCAACAACCCGCTTTCTTTTAGTACGTTTACTAAGTGATTGTTTTCTTTTTTTTGATTTTATACTTTCATCATCAGAAGAAATGGATATATATCCCGATTTTTTTTTCTTTTTAAAAACTTTTTTCTTTTTATGCGACTCAAGCTTTTGCCTTAATGGAAACAGTATCTCATCAATAAGTGTTTGGTGAGTTGTATTTTTAAATTCACATTCTATTTCAGTACTTATTGGCTCTTCACAGTTATCTTCTTCAAATATTTGACTTTGCTCCATAACATTCTGAGATAATAATTTATTTGACCAAATTTCAACTTTTTCTTCAAGATCTGCATCATAGTCGTCATCAATTATCACACTATCGAAATTTTCATATCCTAAAGAATTATCCAACGCTTCTGGAATTGTATTTATATCATTTTCAAAACTATTATAATCGTCTGTTAGGAATTCAGCTTTTATATCATCTATAGCTTTTTGAGTTAAAATGAACTCTTCTTCTTCTTTTTCAGCATATTCATTATTATCGGACATATTATTTTGTTGAGCAATTTTATTATTGCCACATTCATTATTATCAGATATATTGTTTTGTGGGACAATTGACGCTAGTTGAAATTTGTTATCATCAAGTTTTTCATTTTTAATTTCTTTATCCATTGTTTCTTCTGATGAAGACTCTTCAGTAAGCAAAACAATACACTGTCCTGCTAACAATGTATTACCATTGGTTTTAGGAGAAGCAATATCATTTTTGACGACTGCAATATTGGGCTCTTCATCTTCGCTTATTAGGATAAGATCGTCATTCAGTATATTTAAATTGGACGATGGTGATTTTTCCATACAATTCATTGTATCAGCAGGTTTCGGTGTAATATTTGAGGAATTAAGCTTTGTAGCATTTATGCTAACATCAGTGGTTATTGGTGTTACAACATTTGATGAGTTATTACGTTGAATATTTAATATATTAAAATTGATAGCAGTTTCACTTTTTGAAACTGATGAAGAGTCTAAATTATTTGCTTTTTCTAATGATATACTTTTAGGTTCAACATTTTCTTGCATTTCTACGTAACATTTCATTGGTGCTGTCTTAAGCACAAATAAAGGGTGCTCTATAGTGGCAATATTGTAGTTGATCCTAACACCCACTCCAATTAAATCTCCTTTCTTCAATATTGCGCGGGTTGTTGAGTTATGATTTACATAGATACCATTACTAGAGTTCTGCAAAGCATGATATTATAAAAACTTATTGCAATATTTAAAAAATTTTATATAGTACAAATATAGTATATTAATATTTATAATATATTATAAATGGGCATCAAATAATAATTATATATTTTTAAAATTTAAATTTCCCATTTTTAATAATAGGGTATCTAATCCTAGTGTATATCAAAAATTTTTTAGCTTCAATTAAATTTAAATAAACTTTAAATTAAATTAAATCCTTCAAGATCTCCTTCAAGACCAATACAATCATTCCAATGCTTCTCTAACTTCTCGATGACGTGCTTGTAGAAGGATTTGTCTTTTACCTCAAAATAGGTTTCAGTTTCAGCAATTACTTCTTCTTTTGAGATGAATTTCTTATCGGCATGCATTTTTTTGAGATCAGCGAAGAGCCAATAGTCGCTGGGAGCCAGACTAATCGGTGGATGAGGACGCAATTCGAAGTGTGATTCCGGAGTGAAGTGATGGATTCATGTTTTATCCATTGTCACATATCGACGCAAAAATTCTGATTAATTACGTGTAAACATGGCCAAACACTGCTCTAAATCATCAACACGTTGTTGTTTTTGATCGACTGTGAGAAAAAACAGCACCCACTTTGAAAAGAGCTTTCACATATTCAAATATTCATGCATAATTGTAAAGACACTGCCTTCTGATAGCTTTACGGTCTCAGCTATCTCACGCAATTTCAATTTACGATCAGATATAACCAACTTCTGGACTTTTGATGTTTTCTGGAGTAACCACCTCAATTGGACGACCAGATCATTCATTGTCATCGGTGTCTGTACGACCACGTTTAATTTCAGCAAACCAATAACAAATGGTTTTTCTCAATGGAGCAGATTCCGGATAACACTTTTGAAGCCATTGATGAGCTTATACAATTTTTTTTTTCATCAAGAAGCAATGATAAATTAACACACGAAATTGTTTTGAAAATAACAAAAGTAGCTTTACTTAAATGGCTATCAGTTTTTTCTGACTAATCGAAATGTCATGAAATTTTACACATAGTCTTTTGAAGGTTGTTACTTCATAAATATCATATGGATTGCAATGGCAGCGCCATCAGTGTGTCCGTCACACGACTTATTGAGTGATGTAATATGTCGGATAATCATGATTCGTATTTACTGCTGGCGTTCTCAGGCGAGAGGATAAAGATATACGCTAAATATAATCTAAACATAATAAAATCTATGTAATATGTATGCTAAATTATTACATTTGATAATTACATTAAATAATAGTTTAGATCTGATACTTTACTACTTCTCCTGATTCTTTTACTCGCTGATTGCTCGGAGATATATTGTAGGTAAGTAAACATCGGAGATGTGCAGTGAATGGCTCACATTAACGTCATACCAACGCTATTCAATGCATTACTTGAGTATTCGCTTGCTAGCAACAAATGCGAAACGTATAAAGTCGTGTCATTTTCTAGTTAATTGTTGCAGTGTTATAGTTCACACAACGTATTGCATTGTACTGCATTATATCACGTTATTCATGTGTCCAAATCTCCAATTATCTACTAACTGAAGCTTCGTCAGTTTCATGGTTTTATATCCACTTACATGCCCACGGTGTATTGCATAATGCCAATACCCTTCACACGCACACGGTGAAGGCTTGTCACCGGCTATACGCGAAAACAAAAAAATATATACTTAGCCCTACAGACTATTATCTATCTAAAGACTTTATCCACATCCGCAAAACTAATAAGTATATAATACATGATATATAAAAGACTTTGTTGAATTACATGAGCAATAGATATATATTTAATACATTTAAATAATAATAAAAATTGTGACTAATTAATAATTACATGAAAAAAAATCACATTCAAATACTAACTAAATGGTAATAATAAAGAATGAAAACATAATAATGATCTATATAAATAGATGAATAAATCTAGTAATATAAATAAACTATGTAAATATATAATAATTAGATGATAACAAAAATATAACTAAGGTCGTGTGCGAATTAGGCTAAGTTGCGTTCTAAATGAGGGAAATTCTAAGTTGTGTCGATAATGTATTGATGTGTCGATACGTGTTGATAAATGGCAAAATGTGTGCAGTGCAAAAAATCCTAAAAAATCTCCCATTTGGTTTAGCATCAACTTAGCCTAACTCGCACACGTCCTAAATACTATTACATGATAGTAAAATTATACGACCATAAATACACATACATATATCATGAATAAATAGATAAAATTGCACAATTATAACCATATATAATTAAATATGATCAAATATAAATGAAATAAATATACAGATAAAAATTACACAATTAAAACTATATATAAGTATAAGTGATAAAATATAAATAATCAAATAAATAAATAAATAAATGTGAGAAAATATAAATAGACAACAATTCTGTAATGATTCCCTTGGAATTGCATCTTTTAGAAATAGACATGGAAATAACCTGGTAGGAAACGTAATTTATGCGTTATTTATTTTATTACAAGTCGTCTACTACACTTTATTTTTATAGTTATAAATTTTACAGTAAAATTAGTTATTATAGTGAAGTATATACGTGATGCATTGATTATACGAGTATTATTCGGATATTAAAAACTTTGGATAAATAAAAACTTTACTTTACTTTTTTTTTTTTTATATTAATTAAAATTTAAAATATAATATAAAATATATATGTAAAAATTTGATAGTATCCAGATTCACAAAAAATTCGATTTTATTTTCAACTTCAGAGACTTTGTTTCATCGGGTTCTTCAGATACTTCGCAAAATCAAATATGAACAATACTAGCTTGCCCAACAATAGGGCAACTTTTTTAACATAAATTCCTGTAAATTTTATTTTTCTGATACATACTATATCTATATAATTTTACATGCGTTAAGACGAAGGTCATTAGTTTACATATGTTGTATGTATGTCAGAAAATCACTTTATTTGTAAATACTAGTGTAGCAGTAACATTGATATTGAGTAGTAATATAGGCAAAATAGAAAAAAACATGTGTAAAATATTTTAAAAATATGTAAAATTTAAGACTAGAAACTTAACATTAGGTATTTAGGTTTTTACACTTCAACAGACCAAATATAGAGCAGGCAATAATTCATACTATATTACATGGAAACTCGAAAATATTACAACAGAAGAGTGTCGAATAACTTACAATTTATCATATATGAATTTGCTGCTATTGCATAAATAATACTGTTATTCAAGGTTCAAAAATTCTTTTATTGAATTATGACTACTTGGTTTGTTAACGTTAATCGGGTTTGCTGAAACAGCAATAATTAAATTCATTTTTTATGTAAAAATTTCATAGACGATACGATTTGATTTGAACAACTGGATGAGTATGTTTTCGACATATCCTTCACTATCATACATAAATACTGCCAAATACACAATAAATATGCCGCAGGAAAAGAAAATGGAAAGAATTTAGTTAACTTACTAGGTCTCTTATAATTATAGTTTTTTCATCCTCGCTAACTATAATTTCGGCATGATTCCTGGATGCAAAATTTGAATTAACACGAATATGTGAGCTGTTGTTTCTTCCAATCATATTTACTCCTATGTGCAGGCGGATAACTTCACCCAAAATAATGTTTTCCAATAACCAAGACGAATATCGTTTATCCATTGCTGTTATTTTAAAACCACAAAAATATTTGTTATATATTTGTTATTCTTTATTTTCATTTAATATTTGGATGCACTCTTAACTACGCACCCGACTCAATGTAAATAACGTAATCTGAACTGAGATTTCACAAGCCGCTCTGTCAAAACTATTTACATTTATTTTGTAGAGGTGCCAGCTTGTTCGAAAAAATAATTATTTTTAAATTAACAATAAAAAAAACTTTAAATACATTAGTGCGAATAAAGTGCTAAAAATATTTATTGAAATAATAAATTTTTATTTTGCGGCAACATGATTGTACGACTGATATTGATAAAATCGATTATCTTATATATATATTTCTTCTGTACGTGTGTTGACAGTGAACTCCTCCTAAACGGCTGAACCGATTTTGATGAAATTTTTTTTGTGTGTTCAAGTGGATTCAAGGAAGGTTTAGATTCACAATTTGGCCCACTGGATAATGTGTTTTTAATCAATTTTTTATATTTTGGTATCCATATACATTTATATTAAAAATTTAAAATTTATCCATGCTTACTTTGATTTGTTTAAAAAGTTTAAAATCTCTAAAATATATTGTAAAACTGACGTTGCATAGCTTAAGTGCATTTAAATTCCGCAGCATAATTATAGGTGAGCCAATTTTTAATCTTAAGTTATGTGGTGGTATTCCTGGTAAATCCAGCGAATTCAAAAATTCGACACACAAAAAAGAAGAATTATATATATAAAGATATAAATATCGTACAAAAAACAATGCCACGTCTTCGTGGACAAGGAGGAAATATTGGTCGACGGACTCGGAATTCACAATTACTCCAGAACCGTCGCGACGGTTAAATAGATCGGCAGAAAACAATGAAGATGTAAGAAACCAGGATACAATTACACGTGCTAATGAAAGTCAAGAGCAACGCAACGAACGCCAGGAAAATCAATTGGAAGGGGAAACAACGTTCGCCGGGTCAGCTAGTTATAAGATAAAAATTGACTTTGAATATATCAGATATTAATACTATCATATCTTTCCGATTTAAAAAAAATTCAAAACAGATTTTTGAAGATTAGTGAAATATAGCAAAATGCTATCATATTTAATTAATTGAATTTTTGGCTGACCATACAGCTATTTTAAGTTTTGTAGAGTAGCCATCATCAGTAGTCTTTTTGAAAATATTTCTTATATTTAGTTAACCTTAAAAATTTTTTTGAAAATGCTTTTTGTTTATTCTTTTATTTTGCTGTTCGCTAAGCTCTAAAAATTAATGTGAAAAAACTTCCTAAGTGGGTGTTACACGTAGTGCTTGGTCGCTGAGTATGTTTAATTTTGTTTCGTATTAGATAACACTCTCTATTATCATTATTTTCAACATACATAAGTATAAAATAATCGTTATAATTTTAATAGTAGCGGATTTACCTATATTTCTTCATTATTACTTTATTTTTTTATTTCTTTATACTATGTTCAGCTAGCAGAATTTCCTTAATTTCGTCAAAATGAAATGAAGTTAAATTGGAAAGTGTTCATACTGCTCCAAATTAAGAAAATTGTTTGTTTTTTGTTTAGAATCAAATGTTAAAAATTGCATGCTCGAAACATAATTTGTATCTGGGATTGTTGATTATTATAACTATAAAGGATGGCATTTAGTATTTTTATTAGCTTTAGCGAATTTGAGATATGTGAATTATCATTTTTTAGTCTATATTAAAATAATAACAGTTACAGTTTTTTCTCTATATTTAAATTTAAAAATTTCCCGATTTTATTAAAGTCAACTGTCACTGACATTTAAGAAAAAAAGGTCATTTTTTCGTTATCTCAACTTATTTTTTGCTGAAAATTTATCTTACGCATAGTTGTATTTGAAATGTCTCTTAATTTGAGCCTTCGTTTCAATGAAATTAAGGCAATTTTCCTTGTGATTTTGTACTCAACAGAATTTACTTGAATTTTACTTGAAGAATTTCTTTGAGTAAAATTGAAGTAAAATCGAAAAATACCTTTTATGCGTCTTCAATATGCACATGAAAATTAAATAATCCAGCAGCTTATAGTAGCATCGATGCCAAAAGAATCACAATGACAAGGAATTTATGAAGCATTAGTAAACAAATAAAATTTCTATTTAGCATGAATTTAAAATTATTATTAAATGACTTTAAATTCAAATTATAAAGTATTTTACTTATAAAACTTGTTTAATTATATTAAATTAAATATATCCATATTTGTAAATCCATATAATACCGGAGTAACGAATACAGAGTTTTGATTGCATTTGTTACTCTTTAGAGTATTTGGTAACGATTACTTTTGTGGCAGCACCAAAAAATATAATAAAAAGAACTGTCAACAAGGCACAAAGGAGACAACAATATCCGCAGTTCCCGCCAGTAGTAGTTTGGAAAAAGACAAAGCAGCACGTGAATAAAACGTAAAAACACAAATCTTAACTTTAAGAATATTTTATAATAACTAAGTATAAGAAATAAATAAACTTATCCATTACCAATACGGAGTGTTCAATTCGAAATAAAACCCAACATAACAAACCACTACATTGGTGACCAAGCCGACGCCGAATATAAAAAATGGCTACTCAAGAGCAAAAGATAACCGAAGACACTAACCCAATCAACGAAAACGCAACAATCACTGCAATAAAGCTGCCGATGCCAACATTAATAAAAAACAACATTGACCTTTGGTTTATTCAGTTGGACTACTGGTTCCAAGTCAACAACATAAAGGGCGATACTCAAAAGTTTGGCACAGTTATCGCAGCATTGGATGGATCGCTGTTAGAACAAATTTATAACACAATACAGAATCCACCAGCAGCTCAGAAGTACGAAGCTATCAAGCAAGCAATAATAAAAAACTTTGCGGATAGTGAACAAAAACGCATACAAAAATTAGTTAGTGGTTTACAGCTTGGGGATAAAAAGCCATCCCATCTTTTAAGCGAATTGCAACGTATTAGTGGAAGCAAACAAGACGAACAATTACTGAAAGGGTTATGGTTACAACGTCTTCCTGTAGAAGTACAGACATGTCTAGCCACAATTCAAGTGGAACTACCTAAGATGGCGGAATTGGCAGACAACATAACCGAAACAATCCGTATAAACTCAACAATGCAAGGAACTTACGTCAATGCAGCTAACGTCCCTGCAGCAGCTCATATTCAACGTGATGCACAAATCGAACAACTTCAACGAGAAGTGACCAGACTGACGAAAATGGTCTCGAAATTATCAACCGAACACCGCTCAAGAACAAATCAACGTTCACGTTCAACATCCAGAAACCGGCAATGTCATGATGATAGTGAAGAAAAGACCAGTACAAATTGTTGGTATCATAGAACATATGGGTCAAATGCAAAAAATTGCAAGCAGCCATGCACATATGGCACAAAAAACTAAAACCGACTTCGTCTACGGCGGCAGAGGAAGTTGTAAACGAAACATCTACAAGACTGTTCGTCTATGACAATAAGACAAAAAAATCCTTCCTAATTGACACGGGTGCAGATGTTTCACTTATTGCCGCCAAACAAAAAAATTCAAATACAAACAATAAGAACGAAAGAATACTCTACGCAGCAAATGGTTCTATGATCAAAACATTTGGAGAAATAGAGATAACTCTAGCTCTTGCCTTACGAAGAAATTTCACATGGCCATTTATTATCGCAGATGTAAACACTTCAATCATCGGTGCAGATTTTTTAAATCATTTCGGATTAATAGTAGACATAAAAATGAAACGATTGATCGACACATCAACAAAGATTTTCTCAGCCGCAAGCGAACGTAAGGTAAATGCGCAAAAAATATCAACTGTGAACACATCTTGCAAAATTGCAGATCTACTAAAAGAATACATCGACATCACTAAACCAACACCGACAAATCGCCAGGTGACCAAAGTCACTCACCACATATTAACAAAAGGTCCACCAATATGTGAGAGACCACGTAGGTTACCTCCAGACAAGCTAGCAGCAGCAAAAGAAGAATTCCAAAACTTAGTCACAGCCGGAATATGCCGTCCATCAAGCAGCAATTGGGCTAGCCCCTTACATATGGTAAAAAAACCAGACGGTAGTTGGAGACCTTGCGGAGATTACCGTCGCTTAAATGCAATCACCATCCCAGATCGTTACCCAGTTCCTCACATACATGATTTTGCACACATGCTATATAACCAAAAAGTTTTTTCAACCATCGACCTGATTAAGGCATATCACCAGATACCAGTTGAACCGGGGGATATTCCAAAAACGGCGATCATAACTCCATTTGGATTATTTGAATTTACTAACATGACATTCGGACTTTGCAATGCAGGTCAAACATTTCAACGCTTCATTCACGAAGTATTACGAGATCTCGAATTCGCCTTTGCCTATATTGACAACGTCATTATTGCATCAGCAAACGAGGAAGAGCACAGGCAACACTTGCAACAAGTATTCGAACGATTCAAAAAACATGGTTTAATAATAAACGTATCAAAATGCGTTTTTGCTCAAAACACAGTAAAATTTCTTGGTTATCTCATCAGTGAAAAGGGCATTCAACCTCTACCAGATCGAGTGAAGAGCATCAGCGAGTACCCGCTTCCAACAAAAACAAAAGAATTAAGAAGATTTCTAGCATTACTTAACTTTTATCGCAGGTTCGTACCAAACGCTGTAGATTCTCAAACTGCACTACAACAAATGATAAAAGGAAACAAGAAGAACGACAACACACCGTTATGCTGGACCGAAGTGAACAAAACAATCTTCCAAAAATGTAAAGATGAACTAACAAACTCGACACTACTTGTTCATCCGTCAAAAACTGCTACGCTTGCATTACAAGTAGACGCCTCGGATAAAGCTCTCGGCGCAGTTCTTCATCAAGTGACAGACAGCACGTTCCAACCACTCGGTTTTTTCTCTAAACGATTAATAGATACACAAAAACGATACAGCACATACGATCGTGAGTTGTTAGCCGCATATCAGGGCATAAAACATTTTCGACATATGTTAGAAGGTCGTGAATTCGTATTAAT